CACATACATACATACATACATATATATATTGATTTCAGAGAGGAAGGGAGAGGGAGAGAGGGAGAGAAACATCAATGATGAGAGAGGATCATCCATCAGCTGCTTCCTGCACGGCCCCCAATGGGGCTCGAGCCCACTACCCGGGCATGTGCCCTGACCGGGAATTGAACCATGACCTTCTGGTTCAAAGGTCGACGCTCAACTACCTAGCCATGCCAGCCGGGCCTAAGAGAGTTCTTAATGTTTCCCTACATGTTTATACTAAAGCCCAACTCTAACCAAAAGGAAGTTCCTTCATCTAAAGCAGTGGTTCTCAACCTTCTGGCCCTTTAAATACAGTTCCTCATGTGGTGGCCCAACCATACAATTATTTTCGTTGCTACTTCATCACTGTCATGTTGCTACTGTGATGAATCGTCATGTAAATATCTGATATGCAGGATAGTCTTAGGCGACCCCTGTGAAAGGGCCGTTCGACCGCCAAAGGGGTCGAGACCCACAGGTTGAGAACCGCTGAAAAGCAAAAGTGACTGCATAGGCTCATATCCATCCATCCTTCCCAGCATTGACCCAACAAACACTGAAATCATAAAAGCATGGCACCGCGGAAACAACGGGGAAGAGAAATAGGTAAAACACTTCATCAGTGACCTCAGAGGGTGGTATCTGGAATTTTATCTGCATTATTATCATTTATGTTACCACCGTAATAGGCATGTTTCCATTTGTATGGACGGGGAAACCAACCAGGGTCAGTAACTCTCGTTCTAAGGTCTCCACCCGGACAGTACCAAACAGCCTTCCTTTTCCTCCTTCCTTCCTCCTTCCTCCCTCCCTTCCTCCCTCCCTTCCTTCCTTCCCTCTCTTTCTTTATTACAAGTTGCGCATATTCAACTGCAGAAATAATATTGGATGAAACTTCATAAACCTTCAACTTGGATTTTTTCTCATAGAAAAGGGCTGGGGGAACCATTTCTAGATTTATCCAAGTAGGATTCCAAATTTCAAGAATTAAAATTGCCGGTTAAGCTCCTCCCGCCAGTCCACAGTGATCCTGGTGGGAATGAGACGGTGCTGGCCTCCACTCAGGGCAGAGGAGCGAGAGGACTCGAGGACGGGCTGAGTCTCAGTCATGGGAATACGCTGCCTGGCCCACCTCCCCGCCCCCCCCCCCCACACACACACAGCAGCACCTCACAGTTGGAGGCTGTTACAGATGGAAACCGTGACCCCAGGTGTCATTTCCATTTAAACAGACAAGGATGGCTCCCGATTAGTCTCGCTGGTTACTGGTCACGGCGTTCTGAATTTTACAAAACCTTTCCCACGCATTGTATCATCCCGGGACACGTCCTCGGATGTACAGCTACAACCCCAGTTCATGCCGAGTGAAGGTCCAGAAAGAGGGAAGAAACCCCCACAGTGGGAAACGCATTTGCACAGACGATGGGTGGTAGTCCCCCAGCTTTCTAAGCTCTGCTCCGTAGGGTTCTTAGATAAAATACAGGATTCCCACACACCGCCTGCAATTCTGGGCGGCACAATTATACTAAAGGTGATTTGCTGTTTATCTGAAACTTAACTTGGCAGCCAGTAGTGTCATTGGTTAAATCTGGCCGCCCCCGTCCTCAGGGGTGGGCCAGCCCATCATCTGCCCCTTGCTCTCATCACCATGAGACAGGGACATCCGTGCAATGGGTACAAACCCACCAAGGGCCATTGCGACTGGAGACCTCAACTCAGGCGCCTTCCTGTTCCCTCTGACTTGAGCAGCCTAAAGCCAGGACGGGGTGGACGTCAGCATTCCCATCGTTGTTGAATTTGGAGGATCACGCATCACACGGCTGTCAGCGAAGGCTGGTTTCTGGCAGTGAACTAACACGCGGTCCCGACCGTCCATGCCCCCCCCCCCCCCCCCGGCACCACACGGGCCCGCCCCCCCCTCCGGGGAGCGCCGCCTACTTGTAGGGGACGTGCTTGCTGCCGTTGACCAAGGGCCAGGATGACGTTGCCCAGCGCGGACAGGGACAGGCACAGCCCCGCGCCGCCGTCGCGGTTCTTGCTGAGCGCCTTCACACAGCTGCCCAGGTCGATGAGGTGCAGGCGGCTGCGGCCCCCGGACACTGTCGGGGAGAGAGGACCAGAGAAGGGTTAGGGCCTGGCAGACACTCACCTGTCCTTCAGTAGCTGCTCGGGGAATCTGAGGTTTTGGAAAAAGAGAAGAGAAAGCAAAAGGTCTAGTAGAAAGCCCAACAAAATCACGCCGGGTGACAGACGCCATGGTTCCCTGACATTCCGTCCAGCACATGTCACCAAACTCTAACATGTACCGATTCGTCCTATGAGCGAACGAGGAATGCCTGTGGGTGGGACCGGATGGGACTGCAGGGGAGGAAATTCCCAGTGAAAGGAGGACAGGTGTGTCCTTGGGCCGCAGGATCCTGAAACTGATCGAGTTGGAACCTGAATGACCCAGGTGTGACCGTCTGCGTTGGTTGCTCATCACAGAGACCCCGACCGGAGCTCGGGTCATCGGGGTCTAACTCAGGGTCACACCAGGCAGAGGCCAAGCCGGTGCCGAGAAGGAAGGGCCCACGTGTGAGCGAGTGTCTGCCACGCGCCAGGCACCGCACAGACAGCCGCATGCGATTCCCGCGCTAAAACGTAAGCCAGACACCCTCGTCCTCTTCATAGATGAGAACACAGACGTTTAGGAAAGTTCAGAAACTTGCCCACAGGTACTTCTGCTTCAGGCCCAGAGGAAGTGACAGGGACCAGATACATCCTCTCTGAACCAACTAGTGAAACAGCCCAAAGGTCCATCCGCAGGTGGACAGGCAAACGGTGGCCCATCCGCCTAGACCTGTGGTCGGCAAACTGTGGCTCGCGAGCCGCGGTTTGCTAACCACTGGCCTAGACGATGGGCTGTCCCTCAGAGATATACATAAATGAACTACGGACAAGTGCCACAGAATGACCGCATCTCCAAGTAAGTATGCGAAGTGACGGACACACAGAGGACAGACTAGATTAGATTCCATTCGTGTAAGATCCTGGGAAATGCAAACGAATGTAGAGGCCCTAAAGCCGTCAGTGGGTGCCTG